GCCTGGCACTTTGAACTTGGACTTAAAGCCTCCAAATTGTAAGAATAAACTCCTGTTTGTTAAGGCCATCCCATTTGTGATATATTCTTGTCAGAGCGGCACTAGGTAACCAGAACAGTTTGTCTCAGTCTGTAAGCTGCGTTGAAATCTGTGCACTATGAGCAACCCTGCTGGCTTTTAAAACACTGGTGGCACAGCCTCAAGCCTCACAGCAACATGCAAGCCACCACAGTAGGACAAACTGACAGATAAATTTGTCTCCCTTAGCTGTTCGAAAACTTTCCACCCTCCGCTCACCTAGTTCCTTCCTGGATCCTACTGCTTTGTTGTCCCTGGCGTTCCCTCCCTTTACTGCCGCAGGGTGGGTCCTGTCTCCTGGCCTTACCTGGATGCTGCTGCTTTTGTCGCCTCGCCTCCTGCATTCCCTCCCTTTTCTGCCTCAGGGAGTGGGTCCTGTCTCCAATTAAAGTGATAGAAAAGTTCTTTATTCTTCTACATTAAGTGTATTTTTTTTTTAAAAAAATAGATATTGTTATTCCTTGATGTTGTTTTGCCTTATATATATTTGATGTAAGGATCATCACACTCCTCGGAAGGAAGGTTGGGCAATCTACTTCTGTAGAGATACCACCTTGGAAACCCAAGGAGGGGTTGCTGTGAGGTTTTTTGTTGTTGTTTTGTTTTGTTGTTGTTGTTTATAATCCAGTAAGCTAACTTTACAAGCAAACATATTCAGCCCATTCTTCATCTCCTTCTCTCAGTTCTAATCTTGCAGCAGGTGAAGAAAAGCCTGAATGCAGAAGGGAAAGGGAGACCCAGTGTGTAGGGTTCCCCAGGCACCATCCCCAGTTCAATAACACTGGTTGTGCTTTTTCAGTTCTTTTATATATTTGATCCCATGTAAAATTTTATTGAATAAAGAGTTCTTTTTAAATTAATTAATTAATTAATTGTGATTTGGGTGAAAATTTATGAGGCAAATTTGTTTTCCATTCAACAATTCATACACATTTTGTTTTGTGACATTCATTGTAATTCTTCCTCCCTGTATTTACCATTTCCCTTTGGCCTTCTTTCCTATCCATTCCTGCCTTCTTAGCTTTATAGTTGGGCAAATGCTGCCCTTTTGATCTCATATGGTGGATTGTTCTAATGAATGCTTACCTCCCTAGTATTATTGCTCACCTTGTAGGCCTGTTGATCATTTTGTTGAAATTTGAGCCTTGGGAATAAGTGCAGTTCCATGTTTGAAGGCTGTCTAAGGGTCATAGTTTTGGGGATTCCACCAGTCTCTATCGACAAGTCAGCCTGGTCTTTTTTATAGTTTTGAGTTCTGTTCTTCATTTTTCTCCCACTCTATCCAGAACCTCTTACTGTGATCCCTTTCAGAGCAGTCAGCAGTGGTAGAAGGGCACCATCTAGTTCTGGTATCAGGGTTATGGAGGCTAGGGTTCATATGGTCCATTAATCCTTTAGACTAATTGTTTCCATGCGTTTTGATTTTCTTCACTCTTCCTTGCTTTGGACAGGAAGAGACCAGTAGTTGCACCTTAGATGGCCACTAACAAGCTTTTAAGACCCCAGTCACTACTCACTAAAGTAGGATGAAGAACGTTGTCTTTGTGGACTACATTATGCCAACTGACCTTAGTGTCTCCTGAGACTATGATCCTGAGTTCCAATGCCCAGAGACTGAGTGCCTCGAGGTGTTTGGCTATGAATGGAAAACAAATTTGCCTCACAAATTTTCACCCAAATCACAACAATTAATTAATTAATTAATTAATTTTAAAAGAACCCTTTATTCAATAAAATTTTACATGGAATCAAATATATAAAAGAACTGAAAAAGCACAATTGGTGTTACTGAACTGGGGATGGTGCCTGCGGAGCCCTACACAATGGGTCTCCCTTTCCCTCCTGTATTCAGGACTTTCTTCACCTGCTGCAAGATTAGAACTGAGAGAAGGAGATGAAGAATGGGCTGAATCTGTTTCAGTTTTCATAACTTTGCCCCCTGTATGCTCCACTATATTCATAGATATATTTGAAGCACATATATAGATACATATGTAGAACTATCCTCTGTCAAACCTGTATATATCTGTGGGTGTAGTCCCATCTGCCTTCATACCTTTGTTCACTTTGAGTATCTCTGTATTCACTCATAGATCATTGTTATTAGGGTTAATATTTGATTTTGTAATAGTATTTACCTGTGTTGCCTTTAACTCTTGTGCTTCTCCCAGTGTCTTCCTCTGCCTTGATCACTTTGTGCTGATCTCTCCTTTATTGTATTGTATATCATCTTTCCCTTCACCCGAGTTAATATTTATCTGAATAAAGGGTTTAATAGCTATAAAAATTTAGAAATCATTAGATACATATACAAGTATATGCTTACATTACTTGAAATTCTCCAATATTTTTAGTTTCAGGTCTTTCTTTTACAGTAGAATGAAATCAAGTGATATAGAATCAAGCCTTCTCCATAAATTACTTTGATGTTTAATTATCATTTATATGTGAAGAGCCCTAAAGGCCAAGTTTGGAGAATAGTATGATTCACTTTGGACTCTCAGTTCCTTTCAAGAACATCCATTGTGGGAAGGTGTTGATAAGAACCATGCACTATGCCATAATGAAATTGCACAAAGCCTCAAGGTTCACTACCCAAACTACAGTTCATAGAAAGCATCAAGTAGCGCCAAGTTAAGTACTGAAAATCATGTCCACATTTACCCGGAAATGTAAAAATTAACTCTTTATTGATACTATTTTATGGTTATATTAATTATCACATACATTTATTTCTAACTGCTGATTCTTTCTTAAGACTTTAATAACAAATTACTCAAATTATTATCAAAAATAGGATGAAAGAACATACCATGGTATGTTAATACAATGAAACACTAGAAAGTTATAAAAACAAATTACTCAAATTATTATTCAGAATGATTTATAATTTAATACAGACAGCAGTACTTAAAATTTATTTTTGAAATAGTTAACTATTAACTTATGTCTAGCCAAATAACATGTCTACTGTAATATACATTGAAATGAAAGATTCCATGAGACAAGTTTAGCTATTTTGTATTGATGTTTTCTTATTTTAGATTACTAAGATTTTTCTTGTTAAAATTATAGTTGAGTAAAATTATTTCAGTGTCAGACATGTTTAGTAACATTTATAATACCATAGCTTTCAGAACAAAATTCCCTTTTTTAAACACTACTCTGATGCTATTAAGCTAATTTACACACTTAAAACAAATGGTAGCTACTGTGCCATGTAAGCATTATAATTTTTATTCCTTTTCTATTAGTATCGAATACTAAAGTTACTGTATTCCAGTTTAGAGATGGATTTTTCGTTGGAAAAGTTGGTGTGATCAATGCGAGAACTAGGACTCCCAACCTTGCTCAGCCAGGACTTCCTACAAAAAAGTAAAAAGCAAAAGTAAATTAGCATATTAAATATATCTGGATCAGGTAAAATATCCCCACAATCAATATTAGTGCAATTTTCCTTTTACTAAGCAAACTTTTTGTATAATGTGAAATTTTGGAGGCATTATATATGCCCTTCTAAGAATATCAAAAGGAGCTCCCGGAGGTGTAGTGGGTAAGGCATTTGGCTGCTAACTAGAAGGTTGGTGGTTCAAACCCACGAGCTGCTTGGCAGGAGGAAGATGAAACAATCTACTTCCATAAAGATTTACAGCCTTGGAAAACCAATCTGGGTTGCTATGAGTTGGAATCGACTTGATGGCAGTGGTTTGATTTGGTGGGTTAAGAATATCAAGACTATAATTTATAATTAAATATGGACAAAGAAAACTAGTAACAAATTAAATGAAGTTAACTCCTTAATCATTTCATATTGGGGTTATTGTTCTCTCTTAAAGCACTCCAAGGCCATTATTGTCTAGCTCTTGTTAAGCAAAAGGATAACAATATTTTTGAAAAGAGGTTAGTAATAAAAACAATTCACTACTGTTCTCATTACCCAGCACATAGTATATGACTTATGTACATGTGCATAACATACACATATATACATATACAGGATAAATAAAGGAATAAGGACAAATAAATAATAAATGTGATTTTCCACAAACATTAAAATAAAACCAGATGAACATTTTGTCTTATCTACTCAAATACTATTGCTTACCACATATCCTAGCAAAGTATGTAGATTAAAGGCCAAGTCAAATGTTCTGAAAATATTTATCTGCTTATGTAGTGCAATGGTTTTTCTACACTTATTAGAGAAATTCATGTGTCTACTTATTACTTTTGGGTACTTACCTGAGACACTTTCTATATAATGCAGGCCTCTGGAATACCACTGCCACCTCAGATAGTACTGTTGAGGATTTTCCAGTCTTTCTACCTACTAATAATCGGCAATGGTAGATTTAGTGGGACTGCATGTCAATAATATGAGGCCGTTTTTACACTGCTGTTATAGAAACATCCTATGAGTTTCCATAACTGCATATATCACCAAAGTTATCTAAGATTGTGAAGCCAGTGCTACATACAGCTGTGCAAGATCATATGTAACACTCACATACAGCCTTGAATTAAAAATATTTTCCAGGCTGAAAATCATGTCCACATTTACCCAGAAATGTAAAAATTAACTCTTTCTGATTAGCTGAAAATTACTCTAAATCAGGCTAGAGAATAATTCCGATGATTCAAATTCCCATTGCATGTTTTAACCTTCTCTTTGGTTATTATTAGGAGCTCTGATGGCATAGTGCCTAAGGCATTTGATTACTAACCAGAAGGCTGGCGATTCAAACCCAGCAGCCACTCTTCAGAAGGAAAGTTGAACAATCTACTTCCATAGTGATACCGCCTCAGAAACCCAAGGAGGGGTCGCTATGAGTTGGATCCAACTCCACGGCAATGAGTTTGGTTTTTTTTGGTTATTATTTGGTTCTTTACTGGGTAATGTTAATTCTGATGTTTCTTTCAGGAGCTGAGCTGTCAACACAATAACACATTTTATTTTCTGCAACTGATTTGATTTAGTTGAAATTTTGAAAATGTAAATTGTATTGAGGGATAAATGCAGTTTTTATGAAAAGGAGTTGATTACTTTCACTTTACTTGTCAGATCTCCTTGAAGCCTTCTAGAAAATCAAGGCCAGAAATAATAATAAAAGCTAACATTCATTGAGTATTACCTATTTGCTCAGCATTGTACTAATTGCTTTACATACATTATTTCCTTTAATCACCAAGAAACTGAAGAAAGATAGAAAAGAGATGAGGTCCCATGGCTGGGCCTTGGGATACTCCAATATTAAAAGTCCAGGAATTGGGGAAGAATCTGCAAAGGTGACAAGTAAGAAAGCATCCAGAGAGGCAGGAGGAAAATTCAAGAGTGAAGTGTCCTGGGTTTCAGACGAAGTCCTCAGGAAGCAGGGAGGGATCAGCTGGGTCAAATGCTACTGGCAGGGCAAGCAAGGTGAGAACTGAGAGCTGACCATTGCATTTATCAGTTGGAGGCTACTGGTAACCTTGATGGAAACCTGGTATGGTAGTTAAGGCTATGTGTCAACTTGTCTGGGCCTGGCTTCCATAAAGATTACAACCGAGAAAACCCTATGGAGCAGTTTTACTCTGAAACACATGAGGTGCCATGAGTCAGAATTGACAGCAATGGGCTTTATTTTTCAGTTGGTGACCTTGCCAAGAGTAGTTTTGGCAAAGTGAAAGCCATATCTGAAGGGGTTCAGGAGAGAACATGAAATTGGAGATAGTGAATCTAGGACTTGGACTAGGGAGCATAGAACTTGCAATAACTAATCCAATGAGCTAGTAACTCACTGTATTTTAGTTGAGGGACTGACTACATCCTGTCCCCAAAACACTTAAGTCCTTCCTTACCAACCAAACCTATGGAGGAATCTATGCTACTGGTGGGGATAGAATGGGCGTGCTGTTGAGAGATTCAGCTCTGTTTATACTGTGGGTGGATGGCCTCTTTGTGTCCCAGCTCCTCGCATGCTACTCTTGTTGCTGGGAATGACCTGGCCTGACTTGCCTACCTACCTAGGAATGAATGTTCTTGCCACCCGTCACTTGTTAAGCCCTAAGACCTCACTCTTTATATACTGCTCTTACATTCAGCCCTTGACAGGTGTGGCTCAGGTCTGGAGATGGTAGAACCAAGAGTTCTCCTAGCCAAAGAATTCGCAAAATATCACAAGAATTCATGTCTAATTAGGATGTGGGTGGGATGGAAGTTAAATATGTATCACTCACTCAGTGTGAAAAAGAACCATATCACCAAACATTATCAATAAATATTTCAGTAGCACTTTATAAAAAAAAAAAAACCCAGATGCTGTTGATTCCAACTCATGGTGACTTCATGTGCATCAGAGTAGAATTGTGCTTGATGATAGGGTTTTCAGCAGTTGGTTTTTCAGAAGTAGCTAGTCAGAGCTTTTTGGGTGGGCTCAAACTGCCATTAAGTTAGTAGACAAGTACTAACTGTGCCACACAGGGACTCAAATGTAGAACTTTAAACAAGGCATATTCTAGATACCAGGGTTTGTCCATAGATAATTTGGTTTCTTCTTCCAGTAGTTTATTATCTAATAAAGGAATGTGCAGAATAATAAAAATAACTATAATATAATTAAGGCACTCTGGTGGTGTAGTGGTTAAGGAGTTTGACTGCTAACCAAAAGGTCGGTGGTTCAAACCCACCAGCTGCTCAGTAGAAGAAAGATGAGGCAATCTGCTTCTGTAAAGATTTACAGCTTTGGAAACCCAGTGAGGGTCACTATGAGTTGGAATCGCTTGATGGCAGTGAGTTTACAATATAATTAAGAATGTGATGTGCGACATGAATGATATAAAGGGAGAGAGGAATGGGTGTGGTTAATTTCTGGCCAAGGTACTAAAATATATCTTTCTGATAGCATTTAAGCTAGGTTTTTAAAAATAATATTAGTGAATTTTTCAAATCTAGAATGGAGAATGATAATTTAACATGATACAAAACAAAGAAGCATTAGGGAAAATATTGATATATTTAATTCTACTAATTTTAGCATCACTTTATCCAATCCCATCAAATCCCCTTCAAGATCTAAAAATAATTTGGAGATAACTGACATCCTATCAATATTTAATCTTGTCATCCAAGAACGTCAATTTCTGTATTTTTATTCAAATCTTTATGTCCTCACTAAAATTTCATAGTTTACTTAATTCAAGTCCTGTATATTTCTTGGTAAGTTTATAAATAGGCATATATATATATTTTTTTTAAACAAGACACTTCTTAATCATTAGGTTTGTGAACTGATATATAAGAAAACATGATTTTCTTATGTTGTAATCAGATGCCTATACTTCCTTAGTAATAAAAGTAGTTTTTCTTTTAATTTTTTGGGGGTACTTAGGTAAAACACCCTATGTATTTTTCCTGAATTAATTCCATTTGTCAATTTTTATCACATTAACTGGAAAATCTCATATAGGACTTCATTTTAGGTTATCTAGCCAAACTGGAAGGAGTCCTGGTGGTGCAACAGATAAGTGCTCGACTAATCAAAAGGTTGGCAGTTCAGAATCACCCGGTGGCTCTGCAGGAGAATGACCTGGCACTCTGCTTCTGTAAAGATTACAGCTATGAAAAGTTCTGTGGGACAGCTCTACTTCATACATGGTGTTGCTATGAGTCAGAATCAACGCAATGGCACCCAATGATGACAGCCACATCGGAGCTAATTCCCTGTCTTTCAGGGAATTGTTATAGCAATGGAGAGAAGGAAAGAACCATGCACAGTGTCCACCCAACAAAGGACCAGGATACACCCTTCTGGCTCCAGCACATTTTACCTATTAGTTCAGTGAACTCAATAAATATTGGATGGGTGCATGAGTGGTTGGTTGGGTCAGTGTATTATATTTGCTTAAAAGAGAATGTAGTCTATTTCTGATGTAAATCTCAATCATTTTTGTTTGGATATATATTTTAGGTATTTCTAGAAACAATCCAGTGATAGCCTGTAAAAAGCAAAGAATAAGAAGATTCAGCTAATAAAAGTGAAAGAATAGGAACTCTAGTGGTGTAGTACCTAAGGCATTTGACTGCTAACCAGAAGGCTGACGTTTCAAACCCACCAGCCACTCCTTGGAAAGAAGACTGGGCAATCTACTTTCATAGTGATACCGCTTTGGAAACCCAAGGAGGGGTCACTGTAAATTGGAAAATACAATTGACAGAAATTATGCTACTTCGTAACTATGTTTCATGTAACTCCCTCCCTCTAATATATTTTAAATGCCTTATGTGAAGGTTTCGAAAATTATACTAATTTTTTTTTAAATCTATTTTATTCCTTTACCAAAATCATGTTACCTTTAGTAAAGCAACCATATAAGAATGGGTGTCATT